GGTTTAATTATAGCGCTTTTCAAATGTTTTCACTGTAACATTTGAATTGTCCAGTTTGTCCATTTTGTCATTCTGGTCTTTTACTTTTCTCACAGTTTTTATTTATTGTCCTTACAATTTTCCCCCCATCTGTCCATAGTTATCCTTATAGCATACGTGCTGACATCTCAGTGCTCTCTCCTTTACATCTTTGCCAATAGTCTCTGTGCTTAAAACCTTTCATTACTGCTAGATTCCTGCCCAGGAATCCTCAGTTTTTCTTCATTATATTTGGTCTCTGATGCTTTTCTTTCCAGCCTGCGTTTTCATCCCTGCTTCTGTAGCTGTATAGTGATACTGGATCATTCGCTCTTTTTTAGATTTATGCCAGAGGGTGGAAGGAGGTGGTTATGCTTTCCTGCTCAGATTTGAATACTGGGCCGCCTTTGGGTGTAGGCCCAGGAAGATTCACATGGAGAAAATTTTGTAGGATTTTCTTACTTATATGGACAAGGTAGCTGAACTGAAGTGTTTAGGGCTTGTAGACACCGTAACAGAAATGAAGTAGAGTATTAAGCAGAAATGAAAGACTGTTCTTATTATTGATAATAACACTTACTGTCACCTTTTGGATTTAGCAGTGTAAGATCTGAGAATTTTTTCTTTCGGGATGAGAGACATGACAGATGTTAATATTAATGCTTAGCTCATGGATATGGTGTCACTTACTACCAATAGGGAATTACATTTCAAGCTGAGTCCTTGAACATATCCTTAGGTTTTTAAGATATTTCTGAATAACTTTGTTGTGTGATTGTCATCTTCTCATTTGTTGTAACTTGAAATATAATTCTGCTTAGAACTGTCACTTCTTTGAAACTGCTTTCTCTTTCTGTTGATAAGTACACGTGCTAAAAAGTGCATATGGGAGCGTTGGACTTCTCTAATGACTTCAGTGGGATTTCTAGGTGACCACTCAGACTTTAGTTTATTGTGGCAGTATTGGTGCTGAGGGGGAAAAAAAGGCAAAAAAAAGAACAATGACCCACAGAGAAAAACAGGACTGTGACTGTTCTCTTGCAATGAAGCTTAATAACACAGGCTGACAGCGTACATTACATACCACTTAGTCTTGTACCTCTTCTGGACCCTGTGTAGTACCCAGTGGAGCTCAGATTTCATTATTATGCTTTTTTTTCTCTTCTGAGCTTATGAAAGAATGGCAAAGTTGTATTGCAGCCCAACAGAGCTGCAATCATTGTTACCATGTCACGAAGGGAAGTTACGTGTTGCAGAGTGTGAGGCACGAGGCTGTTTAGGGATGCTTAAGGATCCGCAGGCTGTTGGAATAATGTTGAAGCACTGTGTAAAGTGGGAGGAGACAAACCTGGTGCACTCTCGTCCATACTGCCTGCTGGGGAGGGTCCCTGGTGTATGTTATTAAGCCCAACTGTGGTTGGGTGTTATGTGAGAGAGTCCTAGCTGGCCCAGACCAACGAAATACCAGGGAGAGTGCTAAAATTTAACAGTGTGAACAGCTGGTGTTCCAGGGATCATACTCACTCCCCAGCCTTGTTTTGTTTAACAACCTGCAACTGCAGGAAATAAAAAGAGAAATTGTTAGAAAGGAGCTGTGCTAATAATCTGTAATTTCAAGGAAGGGAAGCAATTATAAATTGGATTCTGAACAACTAAAGTCAATGGAGTTTTTCACGCATATGGGGGAAGTGATGATGAAGCTTTTTTCTGAGTGTAGAAAGGCAGGAGCAGCAGTCATCACCTTATATATATACTGAGAACATTAACTTCTTTGTAAGCAAAATATGTATTTGCTTGAAATTCCCTAATAATCACAGATATGTGAGTTTCTTTCTGCTCTTGGGCTGTATCTAGAGCTCAATCTGCCACTGCTTGGGCAGCTGACAGGCAGACCAACTGAAGGTCATTTTGTATTCCATGGTGGTTTCCCTCTTTGGACCACTGAAGATTTTACCTGTGTCCTCCAGCAGTATTAGGGAAGTTGGGACTGACAGTCTAGCAGAAAAAAAGGGAAAAAGTGGCAAATGGGCGATGCATTATTAAAAAAAAGCAAGCAAAGTTTTTAATGCAACATTATGTAGCAGAAAGGTAAAACAGCTGCTTACTTTACCCCCTGATTATACTGATATATGTGTTGAAAAATTAAAAGACATGCAGGCAATCTAACTCTTTGTAATCTGTGTTCCATAAGATTATTTGCTTGTTTTAGGAGTATTTCAAAATAGATCATTGAGATTGTTCATGTACTGCATTTAATTAAAAGTAGAAGACCATACACGTATCAAAGAACAAGCTGGTCCAAATTTGTAAAATTAGAGTTGGGACTGTTCTGTATATGTTAGGAAAAAAAAAAATTAGAGTGGCAGAGGCTAGTAAGACCTCCATGGGTGGGCACAATCTGTAATTATGGCCTTAAGGCCACTGATCACTCTGCTTTAGGGGAGAGTTTTCTTTATACAATAAATGCAATCTGAATTTCAGTGATATCAAGCTTGATTTCTTCAGTCGACTCAATTATAACACAACACTTTGCTCCCTAGTCTAGTTGTAGAATAATGTGGAAATCATTTATTTCTTAACAATAAGATAATGAAAAAAATCAGCATTACTGAGAATACCACAGTATGTTTTTATAAGGTTTCACTAGCCCAGATTAAGCAATATGGAGAAGAGCTAAAATTTAACAGCGTTTTTACAAAAATGAAAGAAATATTTCTGCATGTCATATGCTATAGGTAAAGAGGAATCATTTCCACAACCCTATATCAAGAAAATACTGATTTACTGTATATCTTTTAATCACCTCTGTGTTGGGGTTCTTCTGCGGGTTATTGAAAACACTTTCTTATTTTGGGAGGGCGTGTGTGTAGTGTCTGGCAACTTTGTAAGGAGTATAGTATGTTTTCTCATAGGTATTTTATAACCTCTGTGCAAATATTATTTCCACAACGTGATGATCTTGGTCTGTGTCAGATTTTTTCAGATGAAAGAATTATCTGTTCATCTCACTGTGGTTTCAATATTGTTTTGTAAATGGAATGAATATAAACGGCATTATAACTGGCTGGTGTCATGCCTCTGAAGAGGAAGTTGGCATGAATCTTGGGATTCAGTCATCAAAAGTATACCTTGACATGAACAAGCAGAAGAGGACTTCAAGGCCTACTGCAAATAAATAAATAAATAAATAAATAAATAAATAAATAAATATCATATTTTGCTCCCACTGCAAACTAGAAGAACAAAATTTAATGAGTTTATAACAAACTCACAATGATGGAGATTTCCAAGAAGTAGGGGGGCTGGAGAAGAAAAGCTAATGCAGTGGAACCTGATGCTCAGTTCTTGGCTCAGCAGCAAGGGTATTCCTTCCCACCTCATATATATTTCTTGTGTGAAACCTGTTACCAAATATATTATGTTATGATATTATGCTGATGTGGGGCTATACTATCAGTTTTTCTCAGTACCACTGTCGGGTGAACTGCAAAAGCAAAATGTTGAGAGAAGTGAGTTAAAATGAATGTTTTAAAATTTGGCACAGAGCTTGGTGGAAGATTTGCATGAAGAGTAGTCACCAGGTAAACAGTTTGTATCCAGTTGAAACAAAAACTTAACCCTTCCGTTCAAGTATGCGTGTGGAAAGTAATCAGTCCTATATGCTAAAATATGCCACACTAGCTGTATTGTTGCACTAGATTTTCACAAAGTGTCACAGACTAAATTTTTCCATAGATGATGATAAACCTATTTAATGCTGTAGCTACAGTGCCAAGGAAAAAGAAGTAGTTTTTCTGTTTTGTTTGTAATAGGAAGAGAAACGCAGCAGGTGTATTTTTACACTTATCACCCCGGAGTTGTTTGTTAAAAAACTCCAAACCCACAACCCTGCAGTTTGGAAACTGTGTGACTGTAAATCATAGGCAAGCAGTACGAGAGGAGAGCTCTTTTCTTCCAATCTCTCTTCCCATTTCTCAGTCCCCATCTCTCTCCACAACTGCTCATGTCTCTGATTTCTCACTGTCTCCAATTTTGTTTGATTTATCTGTGGGCTCTTATTCAGGGGTCAGTACTTTTGAAGTGGTGGCAACAAACTGAAATTAAATTTTACACATGTGAAAATAAGATACAACTATATATTATTGTAGCATTTTTTCCCCTGCACTCTCTTTATGCCCCTTAATTTCTTGGAATTAAAGGGATATGGGTGGCAGCTTACTATCCTAATTAGTGCCTATAAATGCTCTTGCAATGTGCATGTGATAAGCATTAGTATTCTCACTGACTATAATATATGCCAGATGGACCTGTCGGTAACATAACTGTGACATAATCTTACATCACTTTCTCTCCCCTTTCCTGACTTACCTTTAACCTCTACCAGTTTAGAACATTTAATATCAAATCTCTTCCCTTCCCCTTCCCCTTCCCCTTCCCTTCCTCCTCTTGACTTCCCCACAGCATGCGTCTTTGGCCACTGTCCTCTCAGTTGTTTTCTGAAAGCTCACTTGATCTATAAAACCTATCACAAACAGTAAAACATGAAATTCTTATTTTAACTTTTACTAAAGACCTTTTAACATTCTTCTGAGAATCAAGAGGATTTTATGTTGTGGATGAATTCCACAACAGATATTCTTAGGATTCCAGGTCTTCACATTTACAAGTGTCCATATACTACCAACAGCATAACATGGGATTAAAACACTTGCAAACTGGGCCCAAAATGTTTGTCAAAGTTCATTTAGACTCTAAGACAGGTACATGAGCTTCAATAATCTTATTTATGTAATGCTACTTTACTCTCTTTTCTCTCCATTGGCCACAAATGCTTCCTGTCAAGTTTTCATTCTAGATTGTGCATTTTCTAGGACTGTCTAGTTTTAAGATGCCCTGTGCTTCTACTCAACGGGAAGCAAACAGTCAATAACATTTTTAATTTTTTGCTTCATTAAAATGGTATTCTGGTTTTGATATTGTAGATAATACAGCCAGTATCCTGACGAGACGAAGGAGATACAGTCGAACCACTCAAGATATCTATTACCTCCCGGTTTTGATTTCTGATGGTGGAGTGCCCCCTCTCAGCAGCAGCAGTACCCTCACAATTAGGGTTTGTGCATGTGAGAGAGATGGACGAGTAAGAACCTGCCATGCTGAAGCTTTCCTCTCCTCCGCTGGCTTGAGCACAGGAGCTTTAATCGCAATCCTGCTCTGTGTTGTCATTCTTCTTGGTAGGCCATTTTCAATATTCAGTAATGCTATCCTTCCACTGGCTCTCTGAATGTGACAGGGCAGAAATTTTTAATATGATATGTTTTTGAACCAGAGGCTGCCTGGTAGTAGGAGGTAATTAGAAACACATAGCTGTGATTAGGGGGGAAAGGTTTAGCTAAAATTAATAGGGAAAAATGCCTTTAAAGTACATTCGTGAATATCTGGAATCCACCAGAAATTATTTTTCAGAGGTTATCAAGTAATTAGCACTGCAGATCTTTTTTCTGTAATTTGGAAAGATTTCAAAAATCCACTGACTCTAATTCCATGTCTAGAACAGTGTGAAAAATCATAGAAAAGAGATGAGGAAAGCTTTTTGAAATGCATTACACTGTAAGAAGCACCATTAGCACTGTACAAAAACCATTTCTTAATTACCTTTGTGGGATAAACTGATAGCAATGCACAACATAATGCACAGGGGCAAGGGACGTGTGAGACTATAAGATGACTCCATTAGATAAATGCCCTGCAAGTGCATTTTCTCTTGACTTTTTTTTTTTTTTTTGCCCCAGACCAATTTGAATGTTATCCGTTAGTTAATATTCTTTTTTTTTTCCTGGCAGAGGCACAGCTTGCTGGGCACATATCTCTGTACTACTCATGTGCCTTTCTGCGTTCTTGCAGAGACAGCAAGAAATAATGAGAATTGCACTGTGACCCACATAGGAGATTTTGAGTTTTGGGTTTTTTTTTCCAAAGGCTCTACATTTTCTAAAGACTACTTTTCTCATAGGTCACTTCAGAATTACATTGTCAGAAAGCTGTTTTAAAATGTATAGTAATACATTTAGTTTATAATCTTACATTTTATCATCCATTGATACTGATCATCCATTGATGATTGAATATTCATAAGAGAAAACCTTTTACATTTTAGTTCAATATATATGCTAAATATCGGTTTTAATGAAGCACTGAAAGCCCTTAACAATGCTTCTGAAAAATGTCAGCCTTAGTTACTCACTTCTCGTTTAGCTGGAAGTATGTTATCCCCTTTTATCTCCTTTATGAGATCCCTGATAATTTAACTAGTAGATTTCATTATTGGCTCAAGAAACCTCAGCAGTCCCCACAAAGAAAATATACAGTAGAAGAGTGCTCTTTACTGGCCCTTTGGAAGATGAGGCTGTATCAGAAGTTTGTAGTTTCAGTACAGCGTTATTAATTTTCCCCTTAATTGTGTGGTCTCAGCCTGTTGCACTTTGGCATGTGGCTATGTCAAAACACAGCTATATGGATTTCATGGGTGCTCTCCAGGCATACAGTAATCTATCCTCAGGTAACACGTTACGCAACAAAGGCATTGCTCACTTAGGAATATAAGTACGATCTTTCCCAGGTTGGACAGGTTTGGTGACCCTTTGTTACGGACACGTGCCTGACATGATTCAGGATCCCAAATACTAATATTAGCCTGAAAGTATTACACCTCTGTATTCATGACTTAGTGTCTGCTCCTTCTGTGGCATATATGTATTTACTTCAGATGTAAACTTTAAACCTAATCTAATATCTGCACTTTTCTCTTTAGCAATTGTGGTCCTTTTCATCACCCTAAGACGTAGCAAGAAGGAGCCCTTGATCATTTCAGAAGAAGACGTCCGGGAAAACGTTGTGACATATGATGATGAGGGTGGTGGAGAAGAAGACACAGAAGCATTTGACATCACAGCACTGCGGAATCCATCAGCTGCTGAGGAGCTAAAATACCGGAGGGATGTTCGTCCTGAAGTGAAGCCTGTGCCCAGGCATCATCCCTCCTCAAGCCTTGACAGTATAGATCTTCAGGAGTTCATTAAACAAAGACTGGCAGAGGCTGATCTGGACCCCAGCGTGCCCCCGTATGACTCCCTACAGACATATGCCTATGAGGGTCATAGATCAGAAGCTGGATCTATCAGCTCTCTGGATTCAGCCACAACACACTCTGACCAGGATTATAATTACCTTGGAGACTGGGGACCTGAGTTCAGGAAGCTAGCTGAACTCTATGGGGAAATAGAATCAGAAAGAACAACTTAGTTGTAATTCCCAGCACAGAGAAGTTCCTAAACGACTGGAGGTACAATGACAGCAACGGTAACAAAAAATGAATACAGTACTTGGAACTGAGCAAGTTGTATGCAGTTACTGTAGAACAAGTGCCCTTTTCATATTTGAAACTGGGTTCTCCAATTGGAAGAAAGTAAAATTTTGAAAAATACAGAAAAAAGAAGCTATTGTCCCTTGTGTATATTTTTTAATTGCTCAATAAAGTCCGTGGTACCGTATCTGTAACAATACCTTAAGTAAAGCCAAGCAATGACATTTTTATTGCAATATGCTTAACATCTCCAAGCTACAGTAAGTTTATAGTCACGCCTATTTAGGAAGATAGCCAATGGAGGAGCAAATCTCTTGCAGGTGGTTGTGACATTGCATTTCTAGCTGTGCTCTAGGCCTTGTGATCCCAATGTGAGGTAGCCAATGGGGTTTACTACCAGGGTGAGAAGCGCTAACAGTCTTTCCTTTACAGAAGGGATAAGCCACAGCTGTCCTCTTAAATAAATGGTCCTTCGATGATTTCATCTTATTGAATTAGCAGGTTGCATTGAGATGATGTCATTTTGTTATGTCCTTCATAATCTTTCCATCCATAACCAGCTAACAGAGGGAGGGCATCATTAGCTGTTAGCCCAAACACGGCTCTAGCCCATAACCCCAGACCTGCTCTGTTACTGCGTGCTAGAGGAACTGTTGTTTCCAGTATTGTGCTTTTTCTTTTGGTCTTTTCACGGCAACATCATTCATTTAAATGGAATGGGTCCAAAGTACTCTTTATGCAGCAAAGCAGATGAAGCGTAGGCCCTTTCAATAAAAACAACAATGGCAGCACCATTAAACTATGCAGTTGTTTGGTTCACTGTCCTTCACTTATGTCAATTGATGAAGCTTTTCAAGTGTTTTGCTGGTCTGAGTCCAGGAGCTACGAGAGTCAGTTTACAACACGGAGTTCTTAATCATAATGTATCTCTATTTCCATGTGTGACTAAAAGCAAAATAGAGCTGCTGGTAAGACATTGGAATAGAGAAAATTGAAACAAAGAGGGTAAGATGATGATGCTTTTTTGTTTTTAGTTCAATCTACTGATATTTAATTTCTCCATAGAGTAATTTCCATCTAAGCAGAGCAAGCTTTTCTCTCCCTATTTCAAACATGTTGTGGTTTAACCCAGCAGGCAGCTAAACACCACACAGCTGTTCACTCACTCCCCCCACCCCCAGTGGGATGGGGCAGAGAATTGAGGAGGAAAAAAAAAAAAAAAGTAAAACT